AATTACTAGGGCAGAAGTGACATATTATGTAAGAAAATGTATTATATGAGAATTACCGGATACAGAACGAACAAGAGGAGGAGAACGCTTTAGGACGGCTGGAACAAATCGTCTCCCCGAGATCACCGAGTCTGACTAAGCATGCCAAAAACGGCAGTAGCTGAATTGCTTCAACAGCAGTGGGTGGGCAATTGGGGTCATATAACATAGTTGTGTGAGTTCAAAGCAACTTATAAGACATTCAATGAAGCTCTCAGACACTCGGGCTGAGTATTCAGTGAGCATATAGTACACTCACTACTGTTGAAGCAATTCAGCTACTGCCGTTTTTGGCATGCTTAGTCAGACTCGGTGATCTCGGGGAGACGATTTGTTCCAGCCGTCCTAAAGCGTTCTCCTCCTCTTGTTCGTTCTGTATCCGGTAATTCTCATATAATACATTTTCTTACATAATATGTCACTTCTGCCCTAGTAATTAGACACCTAGACGTCCCACACTACAGGGCTTATAAGCCTTAGCAAAGCACCTGCCGGTCGAGCCTAGTTAGCCGTAAAGTTGCTTTCCCCCTAGACCGGCAGTCGTACCGGGAGTCAGGTTGGCCTTGTAGACACAAGTAGAGGTACCTCCCAGAACAATATATGCAGCCCAGCGCCCTCGGAAGTCCAAATCGGGTTGGTGTCGGTTATCCCGCTTCTTTGCGCCTTGCGCGCTGGTTGTGTCGGACGACGCCAACGATATCTAGCCTTCTACGCTATCTCAGACTGTCGGATTTTCTTCCACCATAGTGTATTCATGTACTGTAATTGTAGGACTACAATCCAATACCTTGTTCACTACAATATCATATATATATATATATATATATATATTATAGTTAAGGCAGACTAGTGGGAAGACTGGAGGTGGGCGAATAAGGTGGGGTCGAATCCATTTGGCTCTTGAGGAAGGTAGTCATTGTAAATGGGGTGCCCAACATCCTCGAAGGACCCTGCATTCACCGAGGCCTGCGCAGCGGAGAGGCTCTGTAGGAGCGAAGCCAGCTCCCCCTCAGGCAGATCAGAACTGCTACAATTAGACGGCCCCGCGCCTTGATCGTCAAGAGGAAGTACACCCGCGAAGGGCTGGGAGAAGTCGAAGGTGTACATGGGCCCGTCCACCGCTGGTGCGAGGGATCCTCCGAGAGGACTGGGTGAGTTTGCGAGGATTGCACCGGCCGCCGACGCGCCGTTCATCAGCGGCAGGCCTAACGTAGACTCGTCAACAGGAGGACGACCCGTGCTCGTGAGGTTTGGCAGGTTCTCCTTTCCTGGACCTTCGTCGTCCTCCGAGTCCGTATCCGTCAACACCTCCTGACTTCTCCCCGATACAGCACTGGTCCTTTGCTTCTTCGACAATCGAGTGCTCGTAGATGCACCGTCCTCCGCGTTGCGCTTCGATCCCTGGGCAGTACCATCTGCTCCGTCCTGAGTTTCGGTCCCACCGGGGACCACTGGCAGACCCTTGTCCAGTATCGCGATTGGATCGCTCGACTTGCCGGAGGCCCGTTCAGCATTCAGCCTCTTCAGTTCCGCAGGGCTGATGGTCTTCCAGTGAGTCTTGCCTTCCTCCCAATGGGCTAGAAGGCGTCGAAGGTCTGTCTGGCGTGTTACCGCACTGCTGAGGTTGCCGAACCGCAGCCCGGATGGCCATGAGACGATCACGACGTGGTAACGTTCAACGACTTTCTTCCAGTACTTGATATACTCCATCTTCGCGTTGCGCTTGCCCGTAACCTCACCTGACACAAAATTCAGTACAGGTTAATGAAGGCAAGGATGTACGTACATAGCTTTAAGTCAATAACCTCCCGTACTGCCTTTCGAATGCCAGCAGCAGTGCTCTTGTAAGAGACCGCCGCACCTAGGCATAGGTTAGCTTAGTGTCAAAGAACAATTTATCGCAGCTACCTTGGAGCCCTGCGATGGCATAGCCCTCCATCCGCATCAAGATGTCTTGCACATCGAGATTACGCACGGTATCGAGGAAATCTTTCACACCTTCTGTTGCGAAGAACCCGTTTTGCCACTGCAGGTCAGTTGTGCCGCGCGTTGCAAAAATTATAACCTCCACGCCGGTCCGTTGCCGCAGTCCTTCGGCCTTGATCAGAACATCAGTGAAGTTCATAGTTAAACAGATTCATCCCGTACCTCCTGCATGAAGCGCTTGAAGACAGCATTCGCATCATTGACCTTGGTCCTGTGATTTGCGCGCACCACGACAGCCTTGCTCTCCTTGATGTCCTTAAACTTCTCCACCATTACAGCCTTCTCCTCGGGCGTCAGCGCATGATATTCGGCTTGATATTCTTCATCAGTGACGCGTTTTATGAGAGCTCCCTTCCCTTCTCCATCTAGAACGACATCATGAACACCTCTTGAGTCACAACTTGGACGTGAAGCGAAGCGGATCCTTACTAGGATGAATCTCCTTCAACTGCGCCGCCTTGAAGCTCGCGAACGCGTTCCAGGCCTGAACGTGACGTGCTTGTCCTTTGAAGAGGCTTCTTCCTGTATAGAGGTCTTGTTCAACACGTTTCGGTGCCAGACCGTGTTTCTCGGCGAGATGTTCCTTGACGCGGTCTATGTTGTCCCAGGCAGCAAAAAGATCATCACTGTACGCCTTTTTCCTTTCTGTCTTCCCGGTAGCGATGAGAGCCCGTAGCTGCGGGACATCACCTGGCGCTGGAGCCTCTGTTGTCTCGGAATCTTGTCCCTGAACCCGGGGAAGTACACTTGGTGCCAGTGCAGATGCTGGATCCTGCTCTGCAGGCGTTTGCGTAGCTTTCTTGTTTTTTCTCCCTCGTTTTGCCATGTAGAGCCAGAGCAAAAAAATTAGTATATTCGGAGGATTGCGGGCAACACTGGAGCGGACAGGACAAGGTCACGTGCTTCCTGCTGCAAGTTGAATCACAGCATCCCAACCTATTATACAGCTATACTGGAAGGGGGACAGCTTCAAGTATAACAGAGACAGTAACAATATCATGCGGAGAGAGCCAAAGCGAAAATAATCACAAAGGATAGGGCCGGTAGCCCAGCAACAATGAATATTAGAAGGAGGCACCACCGCAAGGCCCCAGACTGCGGGTTACAAACAGAACGGCCGATGAACATTTAGTCTGAATCAACATCAATGAGAAAACCGACATTACCTTGGTCCTACTGGTGCTGCCTGCCAGATCACCCTCCAACGCCGTAACAAGTGTGTCTGCTTCTGCTGCCGAAAGGCCCTTCAACATTAACGTTTCCTTCCACCGACTCTGGCGAACACTTCGCGCCAGCTGCCGGAGGTACAATATGATGGTGTCGTCCAAATGTAAGGCGTCTATGGCGGAGTCTGACCGCGGACCAATACTGCAGATCATACCAAAGGTCTGCGAGAGTGACGTGACTTCAGCATCAGTGAGGAATGGTTCGTGTGCCCGATGTTCAAGCTCTGGCCCCTTGGGAGGTGGGTGGACAGCAGGGGTAGCAGTAGATGAGCAGAGCGATGTCGGAGCTGGTGTGTTGGTCGCAGCGAGACGGTGGCCAGGACTAATAGCGAGAGACGAACCGGAGGTGCACAGAGATGGTGGTGGTGCAGAAGAGACAGACGATGCGTTGGCACCGCGTGTTAAGAGCTTCCCCGTCACGGGCATTGCCAGTTTGTTACTGTGGGTCCCGCCCACATTTGGGTTCTTCTGCCCGAACAGGCTTGTTTTGACAAGGGCGTGCCCAACTGTGGTGGGCGTCTGGGTTTCCATCACCGCATTATCTCCCTCGACCTTGCCTTTGTCCTTCCTCCCCCCCACGATCTTGTCAAACTCGAGGGCAAACTCCTCCGTCGCCATGTAGCTGAAGTCACCATATTGGTCGCTGTTCAACCCCTGTACTGCCTTCTCGAGGTACTTGCCCTGGAACTGGAGCCAGGCTGATCCTGGTTTAACCGGTGGTGGGATGTTTCGGTCGGGTGCATTTTTGCCTGCACCCGCCCCGCCTGATTGAGCTTGCTCACGCCACGGCACGGGCTTCCCAGCTTTCGCATACCGAGCTTCAACTTGACGGAGGTGCCTCACACCAACGTGGGATGCGAATATACCAACCATCCTGGATATGGCCAGTTCAAGTGGCGGAGAGAAGCCGTGGAGTTCTCACGGGGGAAGGTATGTGTCGATACAGAGGTCGTTTACTGTGTACGGCTTCTCTTTTGGCAGAATACCCGGGATCCGCATCACTAGCGTGAATCCACCGTCAGACCGATCGAGCGTGGTTGCCTACCACAGTAGTGCAGTCAGTTCGATGAGCACGATACCATCCACGTCACACGCACCGTATCAAATAGATCGCTCAAGAGTGCCTGCTGAACTTCAAACACCTGCTCCACCGCTTCACCAGCCCCATATTCACTGAAGATAAAGTGATCTTGATGCAGACCAGTCTTGGGCGGGACCAGTTCAAGATGTTTCCCATCCTGGTGAGTGCCGTGTCTTTCTACAGCCCTCCAAAATGCTTGCGCGTCCTCCGGTGGGATATCTGACATTTTGAGGTCAGTATAGATCGAGGAAGCCAAGGAGATGTAGCGGGTGCGATAGACTGACAGTGCGCGGAGGCAAAGTGCAAGCAAACCGGCGCGCGCGTCCAGCCGGTTCCTTGCGCGAATACGATAACTGTCCGAATTGACGTCCGAAAGCCTTCAACTCATCGTAGTTGTCCTCCGTTCCCGTCTTGTCTCTTACTTCCATTTTGTGTATTCATGTATCTCCCATTAAAGCATGTACAATAGTCTGCGCGAGGAAATCAAAATGCTTCATTGAATATGACCCAATGTACCGACAGGCCAGAGTTGTGCCTAATCAGTGACAGCCTCTATAAAATCAACCAGTCCCTCTACATTGCGTGAAAGCTCCTCGTCATCCTGAATTCCGTCCCCACCTGCATCCCCACTCAGGACCTCTTGAATCACAGGGTCCACGGAGGTTTGAATATCGGATGTCATTGCACAAGCGTCTTGAGAGGTGCCTATCCGCACACTGAGACCATCACTCCCTGACATTCCCGGCAGGAGAGCAAGACGGTCGAGCCGGGCGATATGTACTGAGTTGACAGCTTCCTGAAGTGCCCATCTCTTGCGTATCTCCGCCGCTAGGAGCGGATCAGAGCTCTGGACCCTTGAAATAGCTTTATGTACCGCTAGCGTCTCATCATGGATGAACGTCCGTAGACGGCGAGCTTCGACATTGACGCGGATGACTTCTTCCTTAGCACGCTCGAGCTGCAACACCTTCAGTGTGACTTCCCGATGAGAAGGCTGAGCCCAGTGAGCCTCGCGGATATCAGCGCGTGAATGTCGGAGCAGTTCAAACTCGCCCAGAAACGAGTACTCAACAATGTCGGTCCACGAGAGCTGCGGACGTGCAGGGGTGTGAGTGCTCGCCAGAGTGTTGTACTTTCTGAGGGCCTGGCGGATTGCGTCGGATCTTCGCTGCAGTGCCTTCGTGATCTGTTGCCGCAATTTGTAGCCTACATGGTGTTAATCTTGAGTAACTACGCGAAAAGATTATACATACCAGTTCCGGACATATTGAGCTTCGAAAGCTCAAAGAGGCGCTGGACAACTAGACGTTCGAGCTCGTCAAGAGCCCTCTGATACTTTCGCTCCTTCAACTTCTCCTTTATCGCCCGAAACTCGCTGTGATCGGATGTCCAGCGCATCTCAAGCTGGAGACTCTTCTCTAGTTGTGCTGCTGTGGTTTCAGCATTGTGGTATTTGGTCTCGGCAGAGCGTATAGATCGGCTCGCGTTCACGAGCGACTTGTGCAGGTTCGGAAGTGCCGGCGTATTGTTCAAACGGTTGAGGTGCCCGCGTGCATCGTCAAGACTGGACCTGTGCAGTTACAAATAGTCAGTACAATGCACAGTAAATTGAGCAGCAAGGACAGCTACCAGCATTTCTCAAGATGCTCTAGTGCCTCGACGTAGTCAAAGCGGAGCGTGTCGTCTGGTGGCTCCTTCTTCAAACCTTGTAGATACTCACGTTCCTGCCGTATATACGCAAGGCAGTTGTCATCTGAGATCGCCAGCTTGCGCTGAATTTCCTTGATCTCCAGTGGATGATTGTCAATGACGTGCTGGGCTTCACGATAGTGATTCAGGAGGAATGTCGCTAAGGAATGAATTGTGAATATGAAGTGAGGGATTAGATTGAGCTAAACTCACACATTGATGCATACTTGTCCAGGTTCCAGAATGCGAAGTGCTCGTCAATGGCTTGATGGCGATGGAACCGTGAGGCATGCCGTGTACCCGCAGCCAGCGCGTTCGATGCCGAGAAGACACGCTCGCATCCCTCGAAGTCTGATCGTCCGGTGCCACGGACATAAAGCGGGTGCCACCGTAGCTGGCAACCCCGGTTGTGTGCGTGTCCATGGAATGAGCCCACAACAAACCGAAGCAGCGACTCACACGCTTTGTCTGCTATGCTGCTGCGGCTAACGGTGCCTTCAAAGGCACACCCGATGTCGTATCCAATACAGATCCGGGAGCCAAACATGTCAACGAGCCTGTTCACCATTGCGAGGCCATATTTAGCCCTGTGAATGCATCAGTTAGAGTTTGAATGGCAGATTACAGAAGCTCTTACAGTTCCCCGCTGCGAACAATGTCGCAGACGAGAACAACAACCCCGTGCCGACAGGCAACCACAAATATTCCCGCTTCATCAAATAGCTTGAACATTTTCTTGCGTTGCTCGGGTCCGGCGTTCCTCCACCGCTCAATACAGGTGGCGACAGGATCCGAATCGGATTCTTCTTCCCAATCGTCGTCGGGATCAGCAGAGTCATCCTCCGCGCTATCTTTACTGGTACCGGGACCCCGCTATGCAGAGAATGAAATTGAGTGACCTTGTCCAATAGAATTGGAGTTATTTACCTTGACATCATCTTTGAAGCCGTCAACTTCCTCTTGACCGACCCAGAAAGGCCCTCTTGGCCGGCGTGTGTCTGTTCGTGCCTGCCGCTCACGAAGAGCAGCATCAATTCTTTTCAGAGAATTGTTACCGTCCATCTCACACATCATAGAGTATTCTAGTGGAGGCTCGTCTTCCAATTTGTACATACAAGCCGGGCAAGCATTCAAAAGCTCAGAATTTGGCTGATCACGCTGCATCGCCGTCCGAATGCGGCCATCTACACAGTGGAGAATCTCGATGTATATATCATATGCAATTGTGAACAATTCACATAGATACCGACGATAGGGAACCTACATAGAAGAATGCTGTTAGCTGCACAATAGACCCATGGTAAAGACCGCCTACCTGGTGCAGGTGACACGATTTCTTGACCTCCGCCTGAATGCTGAGGCGCGGGCATACCCGATGTGTTTGCCGATATACGGCGAGCGTCCGGAGCGAGATTGCAACAGAAGGGCGTACCGGGGAGCAGCCTATGTATCCGTACCGCAGGAGTGTCGCGTTGGTATATGCTTCACCCGGGGTGGGGATAAAAGTCTGATAACGCCGATCTTCTCCAAAGCATCAGAAGACGAACAGATGCAGCATACAATGAAAGACATACGGAATATATCGATTACCTCGATGCCAAAAGCATCACCACCTTCATCTGCGCCCGCTGGCTCGCACACCAGTCCATCCTGCTCCTGTTGGCTGTACTCGAGGTATGCATTGACGAGCACGTCAATCTGCTCATTCCATTGTGTCGTGCGGAGCTCGACGCGATTCCGCCTATCACGATAGTCTACCCGCCGCCTGCAAACGCATTGAGGATCATGCATGGAAGTGAGTGAAAGAAACATACACTCCTGTGATGTTCTGGAGGTGATGGACGAACTCCTCGAACACCTCGTGTTCCCCTCCTTCGTGGCTGAGGTCGAATCCCTCTTCACCGGGCGGCATGGTATTGAAGGCGGCGTCGTAAAGCTCCTGCTGTTCGGGAGAGGCGTCGCCTGCATCCAGGTCCATTTCATGGACCATGGTCCGATTTTCAGAGCTCATTTCTAAACTGAATGTCAGTATCAGTAGCTACTCAAGTGTAGGTACATGCCTTTGATGAGATTTGCGCGTTCCTGAGCAGCCTGCTGTCTACGCTGAGCCTGCGCCCTAGGTCGCAGGTCTTGTTTCTGCAACAGTCGCCCCTTGAAGGAGTAAGCGCTGGACGCCTTCGACATACCTTTAAATCGCTTCATATCGGAAAGAGATTTTCGGGGGACTTAGCAAGTCTCAAGGTGATGACGGCGGTCTTGGGGGGGTGCAAACGTGACGACGGCGATCTTGAGGACTGAGGAGCCAGGCGAGCACGGTCGCGGCGGGCGGAGTTGGAAAGAGAGGGCTGGGATGCAAACGCAGCGGCGCACAGACGGGCACGAGTGCGATGACTGAGCTGCGAGGACGGGAAGACAGCTGGAAGAAGACGGCGCGCACGAACGCGGTGGAGGAGCTGTCCGAACAAGGAGGGCGAACCCGGCGGCGGGCGGCGCGTTGATGGCGCTGTTGATTAACTTCGCGCATGTGGGAAGTTGAACCTACCGGCGGTATCTGGTTGCCGAAGGTCTAGATAACTACGTGGATTCTATCGACCCGCTAAGGCCAACCTGACTCCCGGTACGACCGCCGGTCTAGGGGGAAAGCAACTTTACGGCTAACTAGGCTCGACCGGCAGGTGCTTTGCTAAGGCTTATAAGCCCTGTAGTGTGGGACGTCTAGGTGTAATTAGAGGAGCGCGAACGCTAAGGACGGGTGGTTTAGGAGCCTGGGCTGGCACAAATGTCGCCGCCGAAATCCCCGAGGCTGACTAAGCGGACGGTGGCTGAAGCCTTTCACCAGCGGTCGGCGGGCCTTCACGCAACCATTTACAACTTATTACCTTGGGATTTACCGCTCGGTGTACTTTATAGTAATGTAAAAATGTCCTAACTGAATGGTATACTCATGCAATGGTTATCAGTAGTACTGAAGGCTGAATATCCGGCTGAAGAGGCATAATTGCTATAGACAAGCCCCTCTGAGTGTCAGAGGTATACCAAAGGTATTTGCATTGGTCTTGAACTATTTTAGCACCCGT